CTTTGGCAAGTTTTCTGGGTCCAAGCACTGAAAGCGTACGACGAAGGACATGTTGGGCTTGGAGGTCAGCGTCAACCTCACGGTTTGTAAGTTTCCCACGCATATCGACCCCTAATATTGCCAGCAATGAGGTGATTTGCGGTCCAAATGGGAGCTTTCAACTGCAGTCTTCCTCTCGATATTTAATCATGTGATTAAACATGAGGGAAGCATAGCTTATTGGGAAACTTGTCCTTGTGTTGAACAGAATCCAGAGATCAGATTCTTCAAGGATAGTAGCCGTTTCAGCAACTCGAAGGAGAAACATACGCGTAATGTAGAACGGCAGAGCTTTCAGATCATCCGGCAGCTGCTCAATGGAGAACATCGAGGATTGGTACTGCCCGTAGTCGTTGGCTAGGTATGACATAGTGTCCATGGGATGAAACCCATAGCTGTCAAAGTCTTCTGTGGTTCCAGCAGTGTAGCCACCATGAGGAAGGTGCAGCAAGTTGGCCAGGATTTCAGCAGTAACTGTCACACTAAAATTGTAGACAAAGGTGGTGAAGTATGAGGGATTACGTCTAGGACCGCACTGCATACTTGCGTAGAACATCCTCACAGCTTCAGAACACTGATCAAGGAGCCGGTTCTGGAGTAGGGAGCTCCACCCAAGACCATTGACATACCCATTGACTCGCAGTCTGTACCAATTGAAGGTGGTGGGAGGGATGAGAAATGAAGGGTGGAGAGCACGATCTTGAAAGCTTCAGAGATACCTGGAGTATGCTTCCGAGTTTCGGAATCCTCGATTGGTGAATAGGGCAGCAGGAGCAAGTTGCACATTGAGCTGGGGATTGCTCGGCCCCATGGTGATGGGATGAGTGAGGAGGTAATTATAATCGCATGCTTTTGCTCAATATGTGATGATGATTCTATTGAACTAAGGTGGTTTTTATAGGGGCTGAATCGATAATCAAATGGGGAAGGCATTGATCTCTTCTTTGATAGAGTTCTGTCAAGCGGGAAAGATTTTGAGCTGGAAAGACCGGATCAGTTCATTTGAGGGATCAATTGAGAGGAGGGGATTTGATTCTACTGCATCCTCTATCAGCAGATCAGAACTTCCTTGGATATATAATTGAGGAGGAAATTTTGGAAGTAGTTGATCGAACAGAAGGTAAGAATTCGATCGGGTAAAGAATTTAGGGATTTTAGGCATCGGGTGAAGAAGGAAAGTCAAGTTCATTTGCTGTCCTGGACTTGTGTCAGAGACGAAGAAGTCGCTAGAATTGGGATTGGGCTTAGTCCCATGACCCTGGTGTGCGGCTCCAACCCGAGAATTCAAGGGTGAGAAAGGGTTTTGATAGTGGAAAACCCACGTATGTCGGGAAGATGGACAGGAAAGGCACCTCGTCTGGGCTTCGGCCCACATAGCCTGTGAGAGGCTTAAATTACCAGGCTTTCAAGGAATTAAAGGTATTTGGGTAGGGCCGAGAGATTTATCAGATCAAGGTTTTGATTTTAATTTGATTTTGGAGCAACACAACTAATTAAGTTTTGGCAACTCAAGATTATTTCATCTTAGATCTTTAATCTCACTAGAAAGAGTAAACCCAAGTTCTCTACGAATGGTTAGAAATTGGTCAATACATAGAGGTTTAGTAAGAATATCAGCCCATTGGTTCGTCGTAGGCACAAACTCAAGTTGGATTTGACCTTCTTCAACCAATTCTCGAATGAAATGATACCTAATTTCTATGTGCTTGGTTCGAGAATCACAATTGTGTGATCTCCGACGATTCACTATGATTTTGCGTTGAAGTTCGTCGTTACAATCTATATATCCGAAAACCCATGCGATTAATCTCAACTTGATTAATCACAAACACTCTCACAGAACCCGAATTGCTTCCCCAGCAACTCGTAACCAGTGTTTCCCCAACACTATCCCTCAAAGCAATTCTCCCCGAACCCTTTGAGAAACCCCCTTTTCTATCAACCTTGCTACTCTCACAAAATCCCCTTTTGTCCTAGCTAACTTTGTTGATCACTTGAAAAGGTTACCTACTGATTCAGTCTTGTCTCTATTTATAGCCTCCACCAACTAGCCGTTGCTCTTCAATTCTCCCTTGAGATCTTCTTGAATGGTAAGTTTATATTCTTTCTTCTTTTTGGCTTGTAAACTTGCCTTAACTGCTTTTGGGGCAGCCACTGATTTCCACCTTGATTTTCACATTTGAATCTTGCCTTGGCCTTCAAGTTGTATCAAGAAGTTCTGCAATTGTCAAGTTGATGCTAACATTATCCACCACTCAAGTATAAAAATTTCACACATTCACAAATTAGCACTTGGTGGGCAAATTCCACAAATACGAGCAATTCTAATCAAATCATGCCTACCAAGGCTCAACTAAGCTCATGCAAACATCATTCAATCATTCATTCACCACACTTTACCCAATCCCTCGCCCTATTGCTAAGTTCAACATTCAATTCACTAAAATTATCGTCACTTCACTACCTAATCCGATTCTCCCTAATTAACCAAGGTAGAGTTGAAAACAAACCTGGAGACTCAAGTAAGGTGGTAGGGGAAGTGAGGAGAGGGCGAGGGAGGCGAAAAACTGGCCGAAAATAGGCTGGAGAAGGGTTGCCGGAGCTTTGGCAGAAGCTCACCAGAAGCTCGTCGGAGGCTCGCTGACGGCGACTTCACCAGAAAATAATGACTCCAAATCCCCCACACTTTTGGCGAAGGCCGCCCTTGACGAGGGGAGAATGGATCCGCGATTGGATTTTGATTTGGATCGCTGTAAGAGGGTGAAAAAGGTGAAATTTGTCGGAAAATCGCGGTTTTCTCGCAAATTTGAAAGGATTCCAGCGAGTTTTTGGGTCTGAAGTGAAGAAAAAGCGTTCACGGCCCTTCTATAGGCAGACCCTGAGGTTCACAGACGCATTTTCCAGTTCACGATCGTTAAGACCGTGAACATTGCAATCCGTCCGTGAACTGGGGAAAACCGGAGGGTATGACAACACGTGGAAGCGCCCTAGTTCATGGACGCGTTTGACTGTTCACGGTCGATTAAGACCATGAACAGAGCAATCCGTCCGTGAACTGCTTTGAAAATGGGGTACTTCCAAAAAAATTTACTCGACCTACTCCACCGTGCCTACTATCATTCACGACACAACTCAAAACACAGAATCATAAAAACCTGGCACGAGGATACCACTCGACCCCTTGAACTCTTCACTTGACAGAAAAATGAAAATAAGGAAAAGAAAACAAGCCTACGTTGGGTTGCCTCCCCAAAGCGCTAATTTAACGTCACTAGCTTGACGTTGCGGATCTATCACGCCTTTTGAACGTGATGCCACCGAGACTGGATCCACCAAGATCTCGGGGCGAGGCATGTCGCCTCCCAACTTACTCTCAATGGGATGGCCTTCTTGGCCGATGACTTTCGCTTTGCCCTTTTCCTTCGTCCGGGCATTAACATGATTTATCCTTTCCCTCCAAGCTCTTTTCCTTCCTTTTTTAGTCGAGATGTCCTCTTTGCTTTCCTGCTTCACATCATCACAAGGAACAACAGTAATAGTGGGGTATACCTTGAATGGTTCTACTCCACTTGCATTCATATCACCCAGTTCCACTTTCTTCACATCCTCACTCCTAGACTTAGGTTCAATTCCAAAAGTAATTCTCTCATCACCATCCCTCAGAATCAAAGTTCCCTCATTTACATCAATTAATGCCTTGGCGGTGGCAAGGAAAGGGCGTCCTAGTATGAGTGGCATCTCAAAATCCTCACTTATATCCAAGATCACAAAATCCGTCGGATAACAGAATTTCCCCACTCGTACTAGCTCATCCTCCACAATGCTCCTAGGACTAATGACAGAGCGATCGGCCAGTGTGACACTAAGCCTCGTAGTCTTTAGTTCACCTATGACTAGCATCTCAAAAAGCTTAAATGGCATCACATTTATGCTCTCCCCTAAGTCCGCCAAGGAATTTTCTAAGTGATGAGTACCGATGCAAAGAGGTATGGTGAAACTACCTAGATCGGGTTGCTTCTTTGGCAACCTGTTGAGGATGAAGGTTGAGCACTCCTCTCCTAGGGTGACATTGGCGAGGTCTTCGAACTTTGGTTTCTTGGAGAGAAGCCCCTTAAGGTATTTTGAATACCTTGGCATGTGGGCCATTGCTTCAAGGAAGGGAGTGTTGAGGTGGAGTTTTCGGAGCATCTCCATGAAACCTGCACATTCCGCTTCCAATCTTTCCTGTTCACCCTCTTGGAAAAGGTAGGGGTTGTGTGTACTCAGCCACAGGTGGTGGCATTGGCGATGCCTTCCTCACCACTCCTCTCTTTTCTCCCGAGGTTTCTTCTTCTCCACCCTCAGGTAGAGGGTCTTCCTTCTCATTCACTTCTTTTGCAACGACCTCCGGAGTCACCTTCCCACTTCTCAAATGAATTGCATTCACCCCGTCATGATCCTTGGGGTTTGTAATGGTTTGAGAGGGTAGGTCTCCCTTTGGTCTCTTGGTGAGGATCCCGACAAGATTGCCGATTTTCACTTCCAAGTTCTAGAGACTTGCTTGATGACTTCGGAGTCTTTCCTCAACCGAGGTAAACTTGGGGGTTGCCTCATGAATTGATCAATCTTCTCGAACTTCTGAGAGCTCGTACTCTCAAAGGTTGTCACAAGGTCTTCAAGTTTAGAGAACTTGTCGACTTGTTGTTGTTGTTGTTGTTGTTGTTGTTGTTGTTGTTGTGGAAACCCTTGACCACCTTGTGCTTGGTATGGTTGTTGGAAGTTCGAGTTTTGGAATTGAGGCCTTGGTTGGATGAAAGTCGGTTGAGGTTGATAGTTTCCCGTTGGACCTTGAAAGCCGGGAGGTCTTGGATTGGAAGGGGAAGACCAAGCGAAGTTTGGATGATTGCGCCACCCGGGGTTGTAGGTGGTGCTATAAGGTTTGTTCCCTCCAGCATTGGCAATAAAACTCACTTGCTCCTCTGGGGTACTTGTCTCCTTCATTGCTTGTTAATTCACAGTTTCATTATTAGTGCTCGAACACAAATCACATGATATCACCACTCTCTTCCCTTGCTTCTTGTCCTTAAGGATCACCTTGATCAACTTGTCAAACTTTGCTTCAAGTGGAGCACTTACTCCCACACTTCGCACTCCTCTTTTGGTGCTTCTCTTACCACTTCTTGTCAAGCCCCAATCATATCCTTTGAGAGCCATATCTTTGAGCAACCCGGTCACTTGAGGTGGGGCAATGTTCATCAACCTCCCTTGGAAAAGAGAGTCGATGAGAATCTTGTCATCTTGAATGAGACCTCCATAGAAAGTCTCTATCTGAAATTTCTCCTCAAATCCATGGTGAGGGCATTGAAGGAAGTAGTCAGAGAATCTTTCCCATGCATCCCTCAAAGACTCATCTTCCTCTTGCTCAAAGTGAGTGATTTTCATCCTCCACTCGGCCGTCTTGGAAGGAGGAAAAATCGGGTCATGAACTTGTTGAGTAAGTCGTCCCAAGAGGTGATGGATCGATCCAGACGGTTGTTGAGCCATCAGAGCGCCTTCCCCGCCAAAGAATAGGGGAATCACCTCAGTTTCAATGCCACCTCGGGGACGCCATTTACCTTCAGGCTTCCCGCAAGCTCAAGAAAACTTTGAACATGCTCTCGCGGTGATTCATTGGCAAGCCCGTGGAATAGGCGTTGTTTTGAATCATCGTCACGAGAGAGGGCTTGATTTCAAAGTTGTTGGCGGCCACGGGTCGATGTAAGATGGGAGATTATATATCTACCGCCCGTGGAGCCATGTAATAGCCCACATTCCTTGGTTCTTCCTCGGGTCCCGCTTCCTCATTTTGGTTTTAAAGTGGATTAGCACCTCGATGTTGATTCCCCTCCATCTCAACTTCAACTTCTCCTTTAAATCCTTCAAATCTGGGACCTACTTGTTGTCCCCTTACTTCAATTCTCCCCCTTGCCTCCGCTAGCTCCCTCTCACGAGCTAAGATTCTGAGAGTCCGGTTGATGTTCTCGTTTAGTGGTGTTAAAGGCGCCAGATTGCTCTAGGTCATACACCTCTCTGCACACACTTAAAGAACACAACGCTTCTAGCACAAGCACACTTCACACTTTGCAAAACTGAAAATAAAAGCTAGATTAACACCAAACCATCTTTTCAAGATAACGGACCGAAGTTCCCCGGCAACGGCTCCAAAAACTTGAATCGCTCCGAGTATCACAATAAAATCCCACCTAAGGCCCAAGTATAAACCTTAGATGGGTGCAATATAGGGCAATTATGTTTAAATATCAACCCGGGCCGACCCATGTACCACTACTTCGATTGTTCGAAACATTATTTAGCGGATTGTTGTTTATTGAAATCCCTACAATCTACGATTTAAATTTGAGACTTTGAAAAGTAAATGGGTGGAAAACTCTTGGTGGGAAACTTCACTCGGGTGTTGCTTCCCCCCTGACTAACTACCATGACCATAGGATCGAATGAACCGGTGTGTGACAAGGCAATTGTGACCGGCAGGAGGTGCAACAACGGTTAGAAACCATACTCTCAATCGCTTGGCCGAGGTAAGCATTAGAGACTATAATTGTAGCCTTCTTGGCGCAAGCAATTGGGGGTTGACTTACCTTCTAACTCAAACCAAGGCTTGGACGGGATAATTACAATTAACCTAGGTGTCTAATTTAAGTAGACGTTTGCCCTTCATTAACCTAGTTAGGAGGCATGGAATGCCTATAAAATAGGGGGCTTCTTTCTAATCTAGGGTTAGAATAGCACAATAGATTTCCAAGCACACACAATGCACTACCACCATGAAAAATATCTCATTTATTAAATTAAACACCACCATCACACAATCAATTACACGATAGTAGTTAGGGTTCTACAACACCCAAGTGAAAAATGAAACTACTACATGCTAGAAAACCACACTAACCGCGGCCTTCAACATCGACAAGTGCTCAGCAGCCGTCAACATCAAGGCCACAGGTGCGGGAAGGAGACCGACGCTTGGTGAACTGGAAGTACAGGAAGAGACAACAACGACCTTCGACGGCAGGAGTGGTGGTATCTGACAAGAAGACGTGGGTTCTCGCAAGTATTGGTAACCAACGTGCATCAGAGGCCGAGCAGGGTTCCCGGGTTCTATTGCCGATGACGCGAACCAAGGTTGGGGTGTTGCAGACGACGAGGGCTCCGGCGATGGCGACGAATGACGACGGGACAGAGTCAAAAAGCAAGGTCGCAGGTTGGGGCTTACCCTCTCGCGACCAGAAGTGCCATTCGCTGGGGAAGAAGGGTTGCGTCGGTTTTGACCGACGACGTAAAGTGGATGCGGTAAGGAGCCGCTGGATTGGGTCGCCGCCGCCGCGAGTCGAGCAAGGAGCGCCACAATCAGAAGCGAGTATATGCATGTCATCAATTGGGAAGAAGGAGCGACAATGAAAGGCAGAACCAGAGCAGATTCTCCAGTTGACTTCGCCAACAACGCAAATCACGCAGGCCCTACGTTCTGCTCCAGTCGTGGCGACGAGGGATGGGAAGCAGGACGTGCCATTGAAGGCAGCTTTCATGGTGGCTTCGATCGATGAGGCGAGGTCGATAGTGATGCCGAAATCAGGCTTGGCTCGCCGCCGGGTGATGGTTTCAACGTCGTGGAAGGAGAAGAAGAAGGAGAAGAGAGGCGGCGGTGAGTTTCTTTGCGAGTCGCCGGAGAAGACGATGAGCACAGAGGCGCTGAGATCACCGTCTGTCCACCTGGTGTGCCGTCCGCTACAAGAGAAAGATACCAGGGAGAAGGATGGCGGCGAAGTCCTTATGCTCGTTAACCCTAGGCCGGCACAACAGCCGCCTTTGTTGGGCCAAGAGGCTTGGGCCTCTGGTCGGCTGGAGTCAAGGAAATTAGGCCAGCATTTTGTGACCGCCGGGTCCAACAGGCCGACAGACATGGGCCTCATACATGAACAGACAAGGAAGAAAGAGATCTTTGGGCTCCCTTTGGACCAAAAAGATAAGAGGAGTGAGTCGGAGCTGGAATTAAAAGGGACTGGGCAAGAGATTACTCAAGGGCCGAGAATTAAAGAGCCTGAGGGAATTCAAGGAACAGAACAGGTCAAGTCAAGAGCTGGAGCATGATTGGAAGAAAAGAAAGCACAAGAAATGGAGTCGTCAAGGCGCGATTTGCACGAACGGGAGAAGTAGGTGGAGTCGGTCAACCTTGAGGGCAAGGTTGATCTCAAGAGGGAGAGAATGATAGAAACATAGTTGTTGGAGTTTTCTATTATTAATTATGGTTAGGGTTATTAGTATTCGAGTCGTATTAGGTTATTTATCAGGTTTAGTCCAGTCTTTAGCTATATATATGTACTTTGGGATTACGTCATGAGAATAAGAAGAATATTATGAAAAGCCTTCAAAACCCTAATCTCCAAATCCTCTCAATTCTCGTTCTCAATCCCTCTAAGGCTTAGGCCGATTCTGTTCTTCTTCTTTCCCAAATCAGATCTCAATCCCTAATTCTGTTCGTATAAACACTAATCCCCAAATATTAATCCCGATAGTAACTTTGTTTCTATCACCGATTCATTTTATGGCGTGCTTCAAACTTCCTATCACTTTGTGTCGCCGGCTATACAAGTGCATGTAATAATTTTTGTGGTGATACTCGTAAGGAAGGTCTAATATGAGATGGATTTCGTAACGGCGTCTATGCCGCAGTAGTAAACATGAAGGTGGACTTGGGTTCGTGCGGTTCTAGTTGTTCAACCAACCTTAGCTGGTTAAGATAGCATGGCAGGTACTCATGGAACCAGATTCACTTCTAAACTAGACTGATCGGGGAAAATATTTCCATAATTGATCTTTTCTCACTGCACACGCGGGATCCAAATGTCAGCGAGGTATCAGACGCGGTGGGGGCGGCGATGGAACAGGAATTAGCTTCCCGGAGGTATCGTACACAGGTATGAATGGGAATATGATTCTTCTCTTATTATGCTGGTGTACTCCTGGAGTATACTATTCACATGTTACTTCTAGCGAGATATCTCTATCTAGACCATGAATAAAACCGAGTTTGGGGTACGATACTATACGCTAACCTGTAATGGATAAACCCCAGCCCCGATTCTCTAAATTTAAACCCGAAGTTCAATTTAATGGAAAACTATAATCAACCGTTGAGATTACTCAGAGTTCATACCCGTCATTGCCATATATATATGGTTATGTCTTTGGTGCTCTCACTTTTTTGGGTGCATTCAATGCACTTGCCTCATAATTATTATTCTAAGCAAGTGATTCATGTGAAAACGATGTCAATCGTCATTTGTGGTATATTGGACAAAAAAACACATGATTTTTACAAAAATCATACAAGATTTAGTTTAACTTAAATGATTTAGAGTTTATGGATTTAGGGCTAGGGTTTACAATTTGGAGTTTTGGGTTGAGATTCGAAATTGAAGGTTAATAGGTTAGGATAATGGATTGATTATTAGTGATTCTATATTAAGTCATAAAACTAGACTAATACTATCCATTAAAGTTCATATTATAATCACTTTTAGGACTAACAAATAATATATCTTGTTATTGCTTTCTGTAATTCAACATTTTTATACACTGCAGGTTTCGCAACTAAGATTTGAAAATTCCTCCGTTAAAACGTCTCAACGACATCAACCATAAGTACAATCAAGCAGCTGTTGACAACAGAGTCCTAAAAGCAGAAGATGTCGAGACATTAAGAATGAAGGTAAACTCCTTTCACAATAAGCCAGAGTGGTTCTTCTGCAGACTTGGTTTCTTTCTTCTCATCATTGGAGTTTTGTATATCAGGTAAAGATGGCTGAGGAGGGGGTCAAAAGGATTACAGGTTTAAACCCTATGTTTCAGGGACTGCAGGAGATGTCCACGGCCAGCATGCCATCAACTGCTTCCGAAACTTCAGCAGAAGCAGCCGTTCCTGTTCAAGATGATCATCCAAACTCCAAATCATCAGAATGTTACTCACCATCCAAACAAACCTGCCGCCAATTGCATGTCAGATGTTTCTTCAGTTGAAAATGGACACCCAGATGATGGAGCTCGACCAACAGGAGCAATAACAGGCAACAAGATTGGCCGAACAGCTTCTCTGCGTCGAATTGCTAGCTTGGAGCATTTGCAGAACAGGATACGTGGTTGTGAAGAACTCAGTTGAGCTTGCTGCCATTCATAAGTGTATCTGAGGCTCTAAATGTTTGTTACCAACTGGATTCTCTCTTCCTCTCCTATATAGAACAGCCCACAAGAATAAGTATTCATTTTCAAAACGCAAGTTATCATGTCGAATGATTATGATTTGTCCCTAGTTTGACTTGACTGGTAGGAGGCTAACAGGAGAAGTTGTCAACTGCGGAAAATAGTAAAAGTAACCATAGTCCACATCTTTTAACTTCTGCCTTCCTAACATCGAGTTCAAGGATGACAAACACCAAAGTTCTCATCTTTGACGTCACCATTGATTGGTGTTTACTATGATCTTATTACCTGTATCATCCCAAGGGGATATGATTGCTTATGCCTTGAACTAAGCTTGATCCCGGCTTATTGACTACCCCCTTCACCTTCATTTCTTTCCTCACTGTTTCGACCTCTTTCCATCGCTCAGCTGATGCATAGATGTTAGACAAAGCTACATAATCCTCACTCAACTCCATCATTTCTGGATGCGAGTGTACGACTATCTTGCCCACTTCCTCACCCAAATCGACATCTCCATGGACTTTACATGAACTCAGTAAGCTCCTCCATAGGACTAGATCAGGCTCCACCGGCATTCTCTTGACGAACTCGTAAGCATCTCTTACGTATCCAGCCTTGCCAAGAAGATGGACGATGCATCCATAATGCCTCAATCCCGGGCGGAGACCAAATTGAACTTCCATTATCTCAAACAAATGAACCCCCTCCTCAACTAGACCCGCATGGCAACAAGCTGAGAGCAAGCTCGTGAAAGTTACCAGATTAGGTTTAACACCGAAACTTGCCATCAAGTTGAAAACTTCCATTGCTTCTTTCCCTTTCCCATGAATGGCAAGACCTGTCGCCATAGCCGTCCATGTCAGCACATTCCTCACACGCATTCCATTAAACACCTTCAGAGCACTGTCCAGACAGCCGCATTTTGAGTACATGTCAACTAAACCAGTGCCTAAATAAACATCCATATCAAGCAGACAAATGGTTTTCTCCATGTAACCATGGAGGGAAGCTCCAGTTTCAAGCATCCCCAATTGGGAACAAGAAGAGAGCACGCCAACCATCGTGGTGTCATTCGGTCTCTCTTCACCATCAACAACCAACATCTCCTTAAACAGCATTACCCCATCATAAGCATATTCGTCAGCCTTCTCTCTCTGCGAGCAATACCCAGTCATCATCGCATTCCACGTCACAACGCTTCTCTCGGGCATTTCATCGAACACCTTCCTCGCGGAATATACATCCTTATTCCATCCGTAAAAATGAATCAAAGTCGTCGGGATCATCAAATTCGCAATGAACCCATGTTTCAGAACCCTTCCTTGAATCTGTCTCCCTAGCAACAACGACGAGAACGACGGTGATCTCGCGCAGGAACCCAGAACGTAGAGATAGGTGAAATCGTCGAAAACCAGGTTGTTCCTCGAAACCCAGGTGGCGAAAAGATGGATGGAGTCCTTTGGACGGGTGCATCGGATCAGAGTGTTGAAGAGGAACAGGTTTGGGTGGTGAAATTGGGCGAGGATCGAGTTTGCTTGGCGGGTGCCGGAGGTCGAGCGACAGTACTGTTCTACCAATTTGGCCAAATGAAGCGGGGAAGTGAGGCGATTTAAGATCAATTGAGCTAGGATTTGGCAGGTTTGGTGAGAAGATCTTGGCTTGATGTGTAGCAGAGAGAGACACCTGAACCGCGAAAGATCGCGCATGAATGAAGTTCAATCAATGAAAATTGTAACTTGGCGTATTCAACAGAATCCCGACTCTCTGGTACTCAGTTGGATTGAAGGCAGCGGTGAGGGAGAATGCAATGGGCCAGGCACATATGGGGAAAAATAGAAAAATTATTTTTCTTTTGCTTTTTTAATTTCAAAATTAATTATTTTATAACTTGAAATGACATGGCAATGGTATGATGATTGGTCGTTAACGTGTGCGGTGACTTGGCATCCTAGTCAGCCCTATATTAATCTAACTGACGGAGTTTTTAACACTGTTAAATTATCAAACGGAAATGGCTAGATTTGTCACTCTATCATTCAATTTTTGGCTATTTTGTGTATTTCGATAATTGTGGCTATATTTGTCACAAACGTGAAAGTTGTGGCTATGGAAGTGTATTTTGCCTAATGAAAATAATGAATATTTCTAATGTTTTTCATATAAATTACATACTCATTGGGTCGACCTGCCCCGACCCGCTCTCCATGATAAATTACCCCACCTGGACCCGACCTGCCACGGGGCGGGTATGGATATCGAGATACCCGCCCCAGACCTGCCCCATTGTCATCCCTATTCAAAGGGTTTCATTTTTATTTTTATTTTTTAATTCGTTCTTCAACATAATTTTTTAATTTTAATTGTAATTTAATAAAAAATATGAGTTGTCAATGATGTGACATCTACGTGACTGCCAAATTTTTGCCACATCAGCAAAAGTCAATGTTAAATTGACCATAGTTTGGTCAATCGTTATCTATAACGGTCAACGAAATCGTCAGGACACAAATGACACACAACTATCATACGTTGGGACACAAATGACACATTGTTAATAGTTCGAGTTACCTAGTGGTATTAGCCCTAAAAATTATAGGTACTAAATCATAATTTGTCAATCCAATTAGATTTTTTTTATTACCCAGGAACTTCAACCCAACGTGCCACTTTGTGACAGCGGGTCCTACTAAACCTGGGGGCCACCTGCATTATATTCGACGCCAATGAGGCTTCCCTAGCAGCCTTATACCTCCTGGAACACCAACGGGCCTCACTTGGATTCGAACCTGGGATCTGCAACTCCCAAACTTTCACTGTTGCGGCAGCTTACCATTAGGCTATCTTACCTTTGGTAATCCAATTAGCTTTGGATAAAAGGGATTGGATTAGTTGGATATTTTAATGGATGCATGGATGAATTAGATTCATGAATTTGGATCATATTTGCCACATCTACCTGTGTATTAAATGGGAAAGGGGTGTGTGACCACAAAATTCATGCCGCAAACACACAAGGTCTCACCACAAACCTTAGAAAAAATACCACTACCTCACTACACGATAAAAGTGATAAACCACACTACAAACTCATAAAGGAAACCACAAGTGTCATGAAAGTATGAATGTCACAAATATTATAAAACGCACCACAAATTTTTTAAAACAAGCCACAAGTCCCTTAAGATATAACACAAGTTAATTAAAAACAAGTTTTCTAAAGTGGACCATAAGGTCTCCGAAGTAAACCAGAACTCTCATAAGCACAACACAAGTTTTTTAAAGCATACCACAAGTTTTTTAACAGTGGACCTATATGTATATTTTAAAAATTTTAGGTATCAAAATGTAAGCGAGAAACAATTGAGGTACTAAAATGTAATTTTTTAGGCAATATTTTTAGGACTTGTATGTAAAAGAAATAATTTTACGTACTAAATATTAAGATATATTAAGTTTAGGTACCAAACTGTACTCTGTAAGTAAACCCCATGAGAGTAACGTAGATGAAGGTAGGGGTAGAAGTTTGACTTGCGGATTACGGGTAATTCGAAAACCGCATCAAACCGCACACTTTGTGGGTAACCATATCCACAATTTGTGGATAGTGGGTTGGGCATGAGTAGCAAAATATAGATTTTTGTGGTTAGTGGTTAACCACTATTCACAGTAGTTAACCCACAATAACCACACTAAGTATATTTATTTGTTAATAATATTTTGTAATATTAAAGTATGTGAAAAGTAGAATTCCATTTATCCCCAAAATATTTGAATAAAAAGCAAAGGATTCATGCCGCAGATAAAGATGCTATGTATATTTAGATTAGATCCCCTCCAACCCATACTTGTTATCAATATGCATTTCCTAAAGAAAGTGAAATGACGTGTAAGTGAGTGAAGTGAACCGAGGAGAGGGAGGTTGACTGCTCAGGAAGTTCTAAATACCGGATCCTCGCTCGTTCCATGTCTTGGGCTTCTTTGACTTAGTTTTAACTCAATGTGTGTTTTTGGCCGTCACTCGACTGATAGGTTTATCATATACGGGCCCGAAAGGCAAAGGAATGAAACTTTTATGGGTATCCACATCCAACCCACCCGCAGTGAATAGTGGTTAACCACTATCCACTGCGGTGCGGGTTGCGCGTAGCATAATTCTATATTAGTGGGTGTAGTTAACCGCAAGATGAGGGGCGGGTAGACCACAAGTTTCATAAAACACACCACAAGTTTAAAAACACACCAAAAGTTTCTTAAAACACACAACAAGTTTATAAAAGCAAACTACAAGTCTCATAAAGCAAATCACAACTCTGATAAAACAAACCAAAAGTTTATAAAAGCACAACACAATTTTTATAAAATCACCCAAAAACAAAAGATTGAATGAACAAACACCCTATCCAGCAGAATCTGCCAATCAATGGTACAGAGAAAACAAGCCTCGAGAGTAAGCACAAGTCTAATTGTCCCCTTGCTGTCTTGTGATGCTTTTCTCAATATTTTTTTCTCGATCATCGTTACATGGATAGGAATGGCAAACCAGATTCCCCCGTTCGATTTTATCCGATTCAACATGCAATGGAGCGGATAAAATCCAACATGTATTTGAACATGGCCGATCTCGACCCGCTCCGTTGTTAAACAGGTCGGATATGGACGCTCGACCCTGTTCTCCCCGCTCTAGCTGCTTCGCCTCGTCGATTAATCATCTGTGAAGCCGAAGAGAGAATCCAACGCCTACTCCCAAGCACCAAGAAGTTAGCATCTAGCGATTCATCTTCCCACAGAGACCCAGCTAGCACCTAGTGACCCTACATGCCATCTATTCTGATCATTGAACCCTGCACCTAGGGGTGGCTATACGGTCCGGTCCGGTTAAATTGGCCCAAATTGATCCGGTCCAGTCCGGTCTTTCTGAAAATATAAGGACCGAAGATTGGATTGGATACAGTCCGGTCTTGATCCGGTCCGGTTTTGATCCGGTCCGGTCCCAATTCGGTTTTGATTTTACATTGATATTGTGGGATTTGAGTGGCCTAAGGCCTTAAAGGGTGAGGAGTTGGTTAAGTTTTGTACTAAGTGCAAAAGTTCGTGACCGTTTATGCAAATTACCCTTAAGTTTTTGGTGTTGAGCTCTCTTATCCGGTCTTTATCCGGATTTTTACCTCAAATCTAAGCCCAAAGATTGGATTGGATTGTTTACTATCCGATCCCGGTCCGGTCTCGGTCCGGGTTATACGGTCCGGTTTCCGGTTTTTAATCCGGTCCCGGTCCAAATAGCCACCCCTACCTGCACCCTAGAAGTTTCTCTCCGCAAAACCCAATTCCAACGTCCCTACCCTTGTGCCTTTAACGATTCATCTTCTCCCCCAATTCTCAACTCCCCTTTATCGAGCATTAAATTGAAGATTAAGGGCTCTCGTATAACTACGCCCTTCTTCCTCGTCTCTATTTTCTTCTTCTTCTTCTTCTTCTTCTTCTTCTTCTTCTTCTTCTTCTTCTTTTTCTTCTTCTTCTTCTTCTTCTGAGTTTCGACAATGCCATTGGAAGGGAAATAGAAGAAAGATAGGAAAGCTCACGTGTATCCATGTCCTAGTAAGGAGGACAACAACGGTTATAGTGGTTAATTAGGTAAATATCAATCCATATTGGCCTAGTTTCAAGCCTCAAGCTCAAAACCAAGATAAAAATCATTATTCTGCTAAAAACTCACCCTAAAACCTGAGTTTCAGGCTTTATATAGGTATGGACAAGTGAAAATAACAAAAATAGCTTTAACACACAAATTCGCGTCACCCAGGCAAAATACCCGGTCGGAACTAAAATTAGTCGGTCGTGTATTTAGCCTCCACGATCGGGGGGCCTTCTGCCCAAAATGCCAGTCTGGTGCAAAAATACCCGGTTGGGTATTCCCCCTCCGCCAGCCCTTTTTCCGCTGCTGGTGGGGCCGCATCAGAATAGCAAGGGTATTTTGCAACAAGGAAAAATAGAGCAAGCCTTGTTCCTGTGTGGGTGGTTCTGTGTGTTTCCCTTCTCTTTCCTTAGTTGTGCGCAGATTTTCAGGCAGTTTTAAAGACCTTTCTCAAATCTCAAACGCAAATTCAATATACAATAGCGCATTCAATTTACATCGAATTTACAAAAAAAAAAATGTTCAGAAAAATCATAAGTGCATAACCATGGATTATGCACACTATCTGGTGCCCTATCACTATTGGCATGTGTAGTAGGCCTTGCTCTTCGCTTATACGGCTCCCAATTTGTTAACGTGTGGACTTTACATGGTGAGATGTAATTACTTCTATGCACAATTTATTTAATTCGCTCGTTACATTAGTGTAGCTGTTGTCAGTTGTGCGCATAGGTGTCAATCAGGCGGGTTCGGGCTGGGTTTGGGCTGGGTTCGGGTTTAAACGGGTTGCGGGTTAGTCGGGTTGCGGGTTCATCGGGTTCGGGTTCAAACGGGTTGCGGGTTAGTCGGGTTGCGGGTTTCATCGGGTTCAATCGGGTTGCAGGCAAATCGGGTTGCGGGTTCATCGGGTTTTGGGTCGGGCGGGTTGCGGGTGGGTCGGGTTTCGGGTTGTTCGGGCCAGCGCATCAAGTAACTTAACTCATTACTCATTACCAACTTACACATTTTATTACACTAATTTAAAATATTTTCTCAACTTTTTAACCAATTTATTTCTACCTCGTATATATATACTTTATTTTTTTGAAAAAAACTAGTCAAAATGTTAAATCAATTTGTATGACTTGCAAACTT